AGTGCTTGATAGGAATTATAGAAAGGTATAAAATATTAAATCCAACAGTGGGTTTGCGGTACACCTTGGTTTGCAAATGTCCTCTATCAGAGACTGACCTCACAGTCCACGAAAGTCATCCTGCCATTTTTTACATCTTCTCATGTGAACTTGATGTATTTATCCACAGAGTTGATGTGGTCAGTAAAATGTGGGGTCTTAGGAATGCTGGGGCATTCCTAAGACCAAAACTCATGACATTGTAAGAGTATAATCCAGTTGGTACAATAAACGAGGACACCTCTTGGGCACGAGCAGACAAGGGTACTTGATAGTAACCCTTAAGCAAATCAAATTTACTAACATACTTTGCAGTTCCAACACAGTCAACGCAATCTTCCATCCGAGGAAGCGGGTAGGAGTCAGGTTTTGTGATGCTGTTTAGTTTCCTGTAATCAGTACAGAATCTATAAGTACCATCCGGTTTCTGAACTAGCACACAGGGTGAGGCCCAACTGGAGGAGGAGGGTTTAACCAAGCCGTTGTCCAGCAAATACTGAATTTCTGATTTCATAACTTTACTTTTCTCTGGAGAAACTCTGTAGAAATGCTGACGGATGGGCTGCGCGTCCCCCACATCAATGTCATGCTCAATTAAGTGAGTACACATGGGGATGTCACCGAATATATGAAAATCTAAAATCAACTGCTTTAACTGCTCTCCTTTTTCAGTAGACAAATGGCTCAACAAGGGTTGTAGGTTTAACAACATCTCCGAGTTCCTAAGTCTTGGCTGAAATACAGTGTCTTCTGGAGTCTGTACATCTTCATCTACTCTTGCTGTGTAGCTCAGGTCTACTTTCACAGAAGCAGCAACGGCCTGTACGTCTTTTTCTTCCGGAGTACGACCAAAGTAAGGTTTCAGTAAGTTTACATGGCACAGCTGAGTGGGTCGTTTACGGTCAGGGGTAGAGACCACATAATCCTGTGCAGACACCTGCTTCAGCACAGAATATGGACCAGAAAACTTGGCCTGAAATGGAGATCCTTGAATAGGAAGCAAGGCAAGCACCCGATCTCCTGGGTGAAACACTCTACTTTCAGCTTTCTGGTCAAACCATCGTTTCATCTTTTTCTGAGCTTTTTTAAGATTTTCAGAAGCTAATCTGCCAGCCAAGAAAAGTCTGCGACGAAAACCATTAATGTAGTCGAACAAGTTTGATGGTGGATCAGAACTCTCCAGGTTGGTTTTTAGGACAGCAAGGGGCCCGCGTACATGATGTCCAAACACTAGTTCGTTTGGACTGAACCCTGTGCTTTCCTGTACCACTTCACGAGCTGCCAGAAGAAGCCAAGGCAAACCTTCTTCCCAATCTCTATTCAACTCTGTGCAGTATGCTCGCAACAATGCCTTCAGAGTTTGGTGAAAACGCTCTAGTGCCCCCTGGCTTTGTGCATGATAAGCACTGCTTTGTTGATGGGCTACACCAAGTTGTTTCAAAATCTCAGCAAACATGCGTGAAGTGAAATT